GTGTGTGTGAATGTGTGCGTGTATGTGTGTTTTAACTACTACGACGTATCCGTCTTACAACCTATCTGTTTTAATGTACAGTTTCTTGTGCTTTGTACTTGTTAAATAGAAAAGATACGGTGAGCGCTAACCGGTACTTAAAGAGCCTAATGCTAACAGTTTTTTAGATATATAAAAAGTACGCAATTCAGCCCATGGCTGCAATGTACTTTACCTTACCTGATCAAATGATCGAATAAACCATTCATTCATTCATGATGTGTATTGTTTCATTAGTTCTTTGAATTGTTTCTGTTTATTTCATGTTATTCTTGTCTTCTTCGTTTAAATTTAGTTTTATTCAGTATCAATGGTAACTTTAATATTATAGTATTGGGAAGGGCCAAAGAAAAACCAGCAGGTTTCCATCCCTCCTATGCATGTCTACTTAACTTCAATTGTCTTATTTCATTATATTTCGTGAGGGCAAAACAAGCAATAAACAAATTCATTCATTCATGCAGGTGTGTGGACCGTCACATGTCTATCCACACCGGTGAGAAACCCCTGATGTGTGAGGAGTGCGGGTACCGAACGGCGGATCGAGGAAATCTGGTGAAACATATGCGGAAACACACGGGCGTGAAACCGTACACCTGCGGCCTGTGTGACTACTCCATCTCCGACAGAAGGCTGCTCAACAAGCACATGAAGACGCACGAGGAGGGAAATCAAACGGGTATAGAAACCGCTACTTCGGCCGTGAAAGTAAAAAAGGAAAAGTGCTAGACGAAGGATATGGCTAAGACGGGTGTCGTGACTATTGTTGTCTTACACGTATTGAATCTGTCTTTTTTGCGGCGAAGTACTCTTTTGGGAGGACAGTGGCTTGGTATGTCAATTTGATAAGTTTTAGGACATGTGCCAACACAATATGCTGCATTGTGCGTTCATATTACATATACATTTGTAGGTAGAATTTGTAGGTGTAATTTGCTATAATAATATCAGTACAACTGTTTTGAGACTTACTAGCTTCTCACAGTACATAAACTAAGCTATAATAGAAATTGTATAGGCGAAGCTTTGGTATTTGTTAGATTTAGATAACGTTACATAACTTCAGCCGAAGATAAGAACTATAGGTACAGACAAACATGATCTTATATTGCGAATGTCAATAACAGAATGACGAAATATGTGTTACATGGTGTATATTTGATTCCAAACTTTTTATGTAAAGAAATATCAACAGTATATATGTTTTTTTGCAACTGATTAGGTATTAGATTCAGGTATTAAACGTATGGACATGCACAGCTCCCTTTTTAATTTTGTAACAACTTATTGTATTCTAAAACGGTTAAAATATATATAGCAACATTATCATATCTCAGGGTTAATATATCTTATGTAAACGCTATTCATTATGTTCTCAGGTTAATTCATTTCAGTGGGTAAAAATTCTAACCCGAATTCTAAGTTTTATAATGTATCAAACAACATATTTACTTACAGACTAATGATATAAAATATTGTCATTAAACAAAAATCATATGACGTTAAATAAGAAAATTTATAGATAAGTGTTACAATGTAGTTCGCTCTTGTTTATAACTTTAGATATTGCATGTTACAGTAGTCTAATGTGTTACAAAATAGCATGAATAAAAGTTGTAACATACAGTGCAATAACAAATTAAGACAGAAACCCCGCCAAGTCTGCGTATTCTTAGACAAAGTCTTGATAAAAGTTCACACCTTTTTAAGGTAAATATCAAGTGTGGTCATAACCATGAACTATGTAATAACTTTTAACTATTTATACGTTGTTAGGTAAGAAATGACTATAGTTAATAACTATTCATAGGTACTTATTATAACAAATATATGTAACGTAATGTTGTGATTACAACATTGTATGTTAACATGCAGATAAAATGTAATAGATGTTACAATAAAATTACAACACTGTCTAAGCCAACGCTAGTTTTGTTATTGTCCTTTTCACTCATGGCAGATTATTCGTTATAATTATATAAATATATAAGGTTGCCCCTTATACTGTCTTTACTTTACTATCTAAGCCAACGCTAGTTTTGTTATTGTTATCATGACTCATTGCAGACAATTCGTTATAATTATATATAAGGTTGCCGCTTATTGGCTGTTGTAATGACAGCGTGCAATGTGATTGACCAAAGCCTGTTTTCTACCAATAGCATAATCACACAGATCACACTTAAAACGCCTGTTCTTACTCGGTTTCTTGTTGTGAGTTTTCATATGCTGAGTTAAGGAAGACGCATACGCCGTTTTAAACTCACACATCGTACAAACGTACGTCTCATCATCACAGTGTTTAGCCTGGTAATGCATGTCTAAATGCTGCTGTTTTGTGGCCCTGAAATCGCACTCTTTGCACTGGTACAACAGTGAAGCGTGTGTCTTCATGTGAGCGGACAGTTGGTAGTTGTATTTGGCCTTGTAGTCGCATTGGTCACAGGCAAATGACAAACCCTGTTTATGTGTGGCCATGTGGATGGTAAGATGTCCTTTCTTCGCAGCACGGTAGTCGCACTCGCTACACTTGTACGGTCTTTCGCCCGTGTGGGTCCGCATGTGGGTAACCAGATGGGACTTGTGGACTGTCCTGTACCCACATTCGCCGCACATATACGGTAGAGCCCCCATGTGGACCCTTTCTATGTGTTGTTGTCGAGCCATGTTCGTTTTCCAACTGCCACTACATTGCGGGCACGGGTATGGTCTTTCGTCGGTGTGCGTTTTCATGTGTTTGCGTAACGACGCGCTACGCGCAGTGCGAAAATCACACTGTTCGCAGCTGTATGGCTTACTGTCGGTTGTATGTTTCGACACGATATGTTCCCTCAAACAATCTTTCCTCGAGGCCACATAGTCGCATTGCCCGCATGAGTATTTTCTCTCCCCAGCTTCGCGTTTGAGTCCTATGTGCATTTCTTTACAGTGCCTGTTCAGTTTGGTTTTATGAGTCGCTACATAGTCACACTGCGTGCAGCGGTGTTCCGTCTTCTGTTTTCTCTTTTTCGGCATTACGTGTTTTCTACTGTGACGTGTCATCATACGCACGTGTTTTGTCTTGTAAGGGCAGTGGGAACAATAATACATTTTTCCGTCTTCCGCCTGCCCATCTTTTCCAGGTTCATCAGTTGCGTTGGGCGTCTCCAGGACCGTTTCTGACGGTGTGAGGTCTTGACTAGCGGGGTCCGGTGAGTTGGGCTGTGTGGACGTGTAGTCAGCCTCCCCCTGTCCTGCGCTGTAGTCTGTATCACTCCCGACATACTTTCTTGCAGATTTGTCCATTCCTGTAAAAACTGATAAAGTATGGTCGTGACCTAGATGTTAATTCCCTTACGATAGTAGGAATTCGCAAACTGCCGTTGTACGATCACCAAAGCATTGCTACCCTTAAATTACTCAACCTCTTCGTCCCTGGTGTGATACCTAAGGCCTGAAAACTTGGTACCCTTACAGATGCATAATTTGCCTCTCTCTCGAACTTCCCTCAAATTTTAAGCCTAAATGGCTTTTACACATTTTAAAGTTTGTTGTCAACACATATTTCTTACCAAAGGTATAATCGTTACCAATAACATTCCTTATGGGGAAAAGCAGGGGGGGGGGTAGGTTTTGGCCTGTGCACTTACATTTGTAGGCAGGTACATTGTATAACGTTACATTCATCATTAGTCACTTCCTATGTACTGTCCGAATACTGAGTTTCTCAGAAGCTACTGAACGGTCCCCAAACTACATCCAAATATGGTGATGGCCAGGGAAATACCCATAGTTTTGAATGACTCTCAAAGACCTATAGAGTAAGATAGAGTTAACTCATGTGTAACAGTTTGGTTTTAACGGTTAGTACTATATTGAGAGCTACGATTGTCTGATGCTGAACAAAGATCCCTGCACAATGATACTATCGAGTCGATCAGCAGAATCGAAATACGTTTTCTCTTTGCAAGGACGACACCGATCAATAAACCTGATAGAGTTTAGAACACCATCCTTAAGATGTGTTCTTACCTTCAATGAAGCACCGTTTCTGTTGTTTTTTCAAGAGGAAATGGCTCGAGGAATTTCAGAACCGCCTGCGTCTTCACAGAGGGCCATCCGATCACGGGGTCACCAAATTCCTTCACTGTCAACGGTTAGAGGTCAAAGTACCCGCTTACCTTCATAGTGTCTCTGTGAAATTATATAAAGGGCATTGTATGTAAAATGTCATTGGTTATATAGTGACTTTCTTTTGACTTTGTGTTGATTGCGTTGTCTTGTTGACGTTGTATATTTTGAAGATTAGTACGTTTATATTATTTCCTTCGGTTACGATAACGCAAGGAGCTTCAACGTTAGTATTTGTAACATTGTAACCGCAGATTGACCTTAAGTTGGCAGTTTAAATGACCAGAGTGAGTCCATCCACGCAGTGTGTGCAAATATTTGCGGAGAGGATGCAGGACTCGGGAGCTAGGCTGGGTAACCAGACTATATACTTACACGAAATAAGAATCAACCTATCATTATCGACCCTTTATTTTGAGCCAGTTGAAACAACAAAAATACTTCAATGCACTGTTTTTATTCCAAGCTATCTAACAAACGCTGACTGTGTTTCCTTCTGTATCTTCTTATTATGTTCTACAGCAAGAAGCTGCGTTGACTATCGTCTTTCTTCTGGAGAAGAAAGATTGAAGTATGATTGCAGATTAACATAAACAGGATTCTTACATCTAAATATTCTAATGCTTCTTAACATCATTTTAAACTTTCGAGACGTCTCACATTTGAAACGTCTTCAAAGCTGCAAACCTAGTAAAATTTGCTTAATATACACATTGTCAAGCAGAATTTGCGTAATACATACAATCAGAATTTGCGTAATATATACACTGTCAAGCAGAATTTGCTTAATATATACAAGCAGAATTTGCTTAATATATACAAGCAGAATTTGCTTAATATATACAAGCAGATCGCTATTCATAACTTAACTGGAATAAGCAGAAAATGTAATAATAAATGTAATAATAATGAAAAAAGATACATAGTACCATATAAGTATAATGCTACAACAGGCACACTAATATATGGGTCTATTCAACACACACATTACACCAGATATGCTGCAGTTAGCGAGATACAGGCTAGTGTACCTATTTCATATACGTCTATGCTGTTAAGACCCACCTTAGCTTACAGTGGGTTAACAGTAGTACAAGCTAGTGCAATGTGTGCATTGAGTAGACTTATGAAATTTAACTGGATAATATACACTTGCTTTGTCATGTTCACTAGGTTTGCCAAAATCGATTTATTTTAGCCATCCGGATCCCAAGTCCCTTTCCATAGCTATATATTTAGCTATGTTCCCTTTTCACTCTGTGCAGAGCATAGGGGCGGCGCCCATCGCCATTTCTATAGCCCTTGGGCCCACGCAGTTGTGCAAGCACTACAGCAGGGGGGTAGCCTGCTAGTAGCGTTGTGTGCTTGAACTTCCCATACTCTTTCTCATAGATGCTGAGTGCTAAGCAGAGAAAGCAGTATGTACCATTTTTTAAAGTCTTTGGTATGACCCGGCCGGGCTTTGAACTCACGACCTCCTGGTTACAAAGCGAGCACTCTTCTGATTGATTGAGCTATTGTACCAGTACAATTTAGCTTGGTGGGTCTCTTCTAAAAGTATTATATAACTCCTGTCTCTTTCGCGCAATAAGCTCCCCATACAGCTCACTGATTGGCCTGTCACCAGTTTTGCCTTCCTCGTATCTCTCTAACATTTTTCTAATGTCTTTGTCAAGGTCCTGGGCTGCTTCATTAATGATGTGGTCTATTTCTGGCCCTGTGACGCCCGCTGCTCGGGCCAGAGGTACCCAGTCCGGACCTGGTCCTGCAGGGTTACTTAGATGATGGGCAAGTCCTGTAAAAAGACCTGGAAGAGAACAAAGAATGAAAAGTTAGTCTACGTTGCCAATCTCACATGAAAACTTCAGAAAAGGACACTAAACTTGACCACTAATTTTATAAGCATACAGTTCAATGATTGGTGAGATAGAATTTTCAACAATTTTTATTCAAAACAATTAAAGAAAAACTTTACTGTTGATAGTCTTTTTTTGCAAAAATTTACGAACTGCTGTTATTTTCCAATATAGAGAGTATAGTTATCAATGTTGAATCAAGAAGCTTCTGAAGCAACGCAACAAGACGGCTTCTGATTCTGAAGCAAGAAAGCCTCTGAAGCTTACAATACTAAATATTGTACAGAAAGATGAGTTGGAAGAATAAAAAAAAATTAAAAGGACTTACTTTTTGCCACGCTGTCCCTAATCGCAACTCGCACCTTCCTCTCGTAAGCTTCATCACCAGACGAGCTTTCTGTGTCAGAATCTGCCTGAGCTGAAGGCAGCGGGCTGAAGGGAGACTCTGATCTGCCTCCTACAGCACCTAAGGCTTCTAACCCGTCCGAGTCATCATGTGTACTCTCTTGGACAGGGAAGCTCAGTTCATCGCTTGGCACACGCACTAATGCAGCTGCTCTTGCAATTTCTTCTATGTCAGGAGGAATGTCATTAGTATCTTCTGCTGAGCCTGATATTTGTTTAATGCTAGTCTCTTCTTCGTCCTCTTTTTCTGTTCTTAGATCTCTATGTTCAGACATGGGGCCTGCATCCGTTCTATCTTCTTCATGTGCAGAATCTTCTGTACGCTGGTCTGCTGTATCTGGTAGGTCTTCATGCTTGTCTGGTAAGGTTTGTTGAGCTACGGAAGGTTCTGTGGCATCTTCTGTCATTGAAGATTTGCTCTGTTCATCTTCTTTAAGGGGAGGGGTTTGATGGAGAACTACTTCAATACCTCCAGCCTGTTTAGGAATTATAAGTGTGAAAACAATATTTATAGTTAGATGTTCAACTAGGTTAGGTGAAACAAGTCGTTTGGTGTAATGTACCCAGCTACCACCATGCCACATGCCTGCGAAGCTTGTTTGTTACACCAAAAGGCAGTTATACCAGCTATACAGATACAGATGTGTAAGGTTAATTGCTAACATGAAAATTAGGCATAAAAATTTTAATGTCTGCACTTTCTGGAGTTTAAAACTTTCAAACTACATGTACATGTATGTCCTGATGCAAATGTATTAAAGTCTATTAAAAGTTCAAAGCTGCATTCCTGTTTTGTGTTCTTTAACAGCAAAACATCAACTAAAACTAAAACTATCCAATAAGTAATTTTAATGGGCATGCACATTATCTGACATAAATAATCATCATCAATTACCTTGAATACTGGATCCATAGGTGAACTGATTTCTTGGCTACCTCTCCGAATCAATGGTACTGTCTCATCATCATGTGACCCTGAAAAAAATGCAGAAAAAAACAGAATAGTTTATAATATAGAGTTTTTCCTTCACTGCTTGATCACCATTTCAGATTTATAACACTGACACAAACCATTTTTTTCAGTAGCACAAAGGACATACATGTATATGATGCATGATTCTGTACAAATGTACATGTACAATCATACATACCAATATATTGCAGTGAGTCCTCCTCATCTGAGGTATGTACATGTGGCTGAGTGGTTAGGGACCATGGCTTGGGTCTCACAACTGCAGCTGGAACCTTAGATGGCTGCATTTCTGCTTCCTTTCGAATACTGATGCCCTCTGCCCCTTGTGGAGTCTCTTGAAGGTCTGCATGGGGGGATGAAGGCTCTGTGCATGGCTGTTCTTGGCTTAACTCAGGCATATCTGCTCCAATTTCTGTAAAAGACAAAAGTTTTGATGAGCCTGATCTAGTTCTGCAGCAAATCTCAAACTTATTGTAAATTTTCCTTGAATCAATGCAATTAGAAATATATGGACATGCATGTAGACTTTTAGCAGGCAGCATTTGCTTCCATGAGTGTACCTCAAGTTTGTTGGTTTCTTTTCTGGGGGAGCTGTACATGTATTGGGATGTAAATGCCCACTTTTGTAGAAACATAAATGCCTGTAGAAACAAATGCTGCCCACTAGAGGGTTTGTGCAGGATGCTACTAGTATTGCTAGTAAAATGCAGGGATCCGAGAAGTGGAACCTAAGTCAATGAAAGGTAATGTTACTGTAACAACATTAAAAGCAAAGATTCTAAGCTTCCACAAAAACAGTTTACAGTGCAACCTACCTTCCAGATAGCCTGTATTTTCTTCCATGTCCCCTTCTTCAACCTGTCTCCCCACTATGAGAGGTGCAGCTTCCAAATTCTTTTGTTTCACAAGTATTTTTAGATATCTAATGGCACAAACTAGGAAGCCGGCGCAAACAACAGATGCTACAAAACAAGCGCTTGTTATGGCAATTATAAGATTTATCTTTGTTGTGTTGTCAGCTGGTGTCTCTGAAAAAACTGAAAAACAAAGGCAACAATTAGAAAGACAAAGACATCCAAATGCAATTATAATTGTTGCTAAATTTGCATTATTCAGATTCCTCGATACCATGACAATCTAAACCAACTTCAATAAATGTTTGGCGAATAAAAAAATCTTACTTTTACAATTATAATGATTTAAGATGAAATATTCTTTGTCATAGCAACAAAATTGTTGGACAATGTAATGTGTGGTTACTTACATGGCCATGGGGGATAGCCCTATGACATCCCTACTTTCAAACATGCATAGGGTTAGTGTTGTCTGAACATACATGATACATGTACTCAGAGTAGGAGTGTCAGAACATATAAAGGGGTGTCAGAACATAGGGGTGTCTGAAAATAGGGCATGACAACATAGGGGCACCAGAGCATAGGGGTGTCAGAACATAGGGGTGCCTGGACATAGGAGTGTCAGAACATAGGGGTGAAGGAACATAGGGTGTAGGAATATAGTGCTGTCAGAACAGAACATAGGGGTGAAACCAGTTACACAAAGCTTACCTGGTGACTTTGTTGTTCTCAGTATTTCTTGAACTTGTTGAAGTGCTGACAGCCTAATATGATGTTCACTCAGTGTGTGTGAGTCATAATTTTCCGTACTAAGCACTAATTTGACTCCAGGCTCAATCAAGTCTAAATGTCTATTCAGATCTTGTATAACTGTATCCTGTTCTTTAGTATGTCTATGCAAGGTCTTCATTGTAAAACTGTCAGTATCTGTATCATGACTTCTTGCTGCTATTGTGGGTGCATCCTCTGCAAATGCTGTATCGCTTTGTGATGCATCTACTTGTTCTTTTTTAATGTTTTGTAAAGTTTTTTTCATGGCCAACATCTTCATATCCTTTATCATATCATCACTACTGATATGTGTTTTGTTGAAATCTGTGACTGACTTTAAATCTCCACAGAGGGCATCTGAAGTTATAGATCCAGGGCGAAGAATTTCTCTTCCTTCCTGAGTACAGCTGAAACAACAAAGAAACATTTTGTGTAATGATTAACAACCAATTAAGATTGATTTACTGTATGTTTGTGACACTTACAAGTAGATATGACAGCCAGATTGTCAGAGGTGTATAAACCAATACAATACATAAACCTTAGGACAATATGCAACACATAGCACATAGGCCTTTCAATGTTACTGATTTCAGAAATGTACACTAAGTGAGTTTACTTACTTTGTCATAGGTCTGCATTTCTGGAACAAAGACTTTTTGTCACTAAAGGTCCCCTGCTTACACAGTTTGCATCGTCCACCTACATGTATCATAATAGAGGAACACGTGAACATTTTTAGTTTCTTTAACTTCATCTACTAATTGATGGAAAACTGTGTTAATATGTAACTGAAATTTGTGTGCATGTAGTTTTTACTTGAGAGTAACAGTTGGTCAAAATAGTATAAGTTGAATCATCTATTGTCTCAGAACAAATAGTATAAGTTGATTCATCTACTACTGCCTTATGTACGTAGGTCAATTTGGTTGTGCCCATGTATCTGACTGTATGTTTACACATAGTTTAAGACCTACCCTTGCCAAAGTGGTCAGTTGTGCGGCTGTAATGCCGCATTACGTGGTCATTATCAGATCACTTCTGGGGTTACCCCGGCATTAAACTAGCTCCCACTGAACATTGGGAGTAATGCTAGATTGATGCCACGACCATTAATCATCATTAATCATCTGGGCCTTTTGGAGTGGGGCAGAAGCTGTTGCCTGATGTGATCTCCACCCCTGACAGCCTGCCCGACAGCTTGCCAGTGGGGATGGTCACACCAAATTAATCCTGTGCTCTTTGAAAACATATGTGCCTTCTAGGAGGTGAAACATAATCTGTTTTCTTTGAGCTGAAACACAGCATCATACATATCTCCAAGTTTGGCTTGTTTTGACCAAGCTACAGGAGTCTTTTCTTTTCTTTGAATGTCTTTTAACCACTAAATCAAAAGGTCCAGGACCTGTTGGCCTGGGCTGATAGTGACTGCATTTGTATACATACAGAGCCTCCTACATGTGCTATGGGGAGTTGCAAAGGATGGTCTGATCTATCATGTGACCATGTATGGGAACATTCTGCTCCCCCCAGAGGTCATGTGACCTATGGGGGGAGCAGAATGCTCTAAGCTGTCTTGGTCCTACATTGTGTTCTCTCTCTCCACTTCTTGTTAGACATTTGCTACCAGGCACCACATTTTTTTACCAAATGTCTTGAAATTTTAACAGAGCTTGGGAATATACTTCCACAGGTATTCTTTGGTTTAATTTTTTGGATGCAGGCCCTAAAATAATTCAATGTAGCTTTTTTGTAAAAAAAAAAATAGTCCCAAAAAGTATATTGTAACTTATTTGCTCCTGTGTCTTCATATTAGGTCAAATAAAGGACCTAAAATTTGGTATGAGGATAGTGGTTCATGTACGGTGTTGGTGGTTGAAGTATAATGACAAGAAGTCCTAAATGCAACTTCATGTATGTTCTTTTAGGTTGGAATTGCAACAGAATTTCTGAAAATATACCCTGTGTAAAAGGGGGACAAACTTCAGACTGTTTCAGGCCAGGCAGGTTATAGACTGAATTAGGTCAGTCAGGCCTGCTCAGAGGCGGTGGGACGTCAGTTGCTGACACAGGATGTTCTAAATGGTTGAGGATTGTGCTTACTTGAGCCTGGTGCTAATGTAAGGGTCAACCATAACCGAAGACTGTGACAGAGGGCATTAATGCAGGGGAAAGGCAAACTAATTGGTTCAAGGCACTGCAGAGTTGACAGTGGAGGGAGGTGCCTTGGACAGTCATAATCTACTGTGAAATTAGGCACTATACTGGCTGTAATGCAGGATGAATGTTTCAGGGGGTAATGCTGCATAGCAGACCACTTTGGCAAGGGTTATGAAAGTCACTGTACTTTTGTTGTGTCAATAAAGTTCTGGTCAAATGTATCATGTCTCGGAGACTGTCACAAGCCATTGATTCATCATTTACTGTGTTAGATGTAGATGCAGTAAGACCATATTGTTGAGGCACACACAAAAAGTGGCATCAAGTAGCACAGCAATGAATGTCATGATTGTTTTCAAAAACCTAACAACCTTGACACAAATATACAACAACTTACCTCTGGTCATGCCTTTACCAGGAGGACACTGCTTCCTTTTCACACACTGGTTGTTTGTCACCCTGTAGAGCAAGAAAATGTGAGCTCTCTACTTAAGATAAACTGTGTTACACTAGCAATCAACAATTGGAACTGTTCATGATGATTGGTTGTCCATTAGTCATGTAAAAATATTACAATTAGACTCCCTAATAGTACTTGTGTGACTATGTGCATACAATGGCAAAATATAGACCAATGAATGGCTCAAGAAGATTTAAACAATGCTACCATTTCCAGAATAGATATGCCTTGATGTTATGTGTTTGATAGAGTGCTAAATGTAATTACTTACTTAAATGCCCAGTGCTCACAGTGGCACACTGCATTGTGTGTTTTGTCACCTGGCTGCACTGGTTCTTTTATCTGATAGGGGGCGTTGCATGATGTCTTGTGAGGACGACAGGACTTGAAACGGTTATCTTTCCTGCTGTAGGTTCCCTCAGGACAGGGGGTGCAGGTGGATGTGTCAGGTTCATTTGGCAGGCATGGTTCCTCCATAAAGGTACCTGAAAGAAAAGACATTGGATAAAGTTGAACTTCACATGGTTTAAGTCCATGGCATTGTTAAAAAGCTATCATTTGCTAATCTCCAAGCAGATGCTTTAGTGGTAAAGTCTCGATCAACTCGCAAGACATCAAATTGGCCAATTTGATTGTGTCTTGCTGGTTGGTTAGAACTATGCCACTAAACATCTGCTTAAAGCTGAATCATTTGCAACTTAAGACAAAATGATGTTTTATTACACTAGAGACATGATATTTCTCTACTCTTGTTTCAATAGACCAACTTGAAATGGATATATAATTCTACAGTACTACTGAACAATCTAATACAGGGACATCAGATAACTAAACCACAATATCTACGGTAGTCATTAAACAAGGTACAACTTACTACCTCTATATGTACCTCTATATGATATAATACCTCTATTACCTCTGTACCTCTATATGATATAGTATAGATATGTATCTTATCTCTGCCATTATAACTACTAACCTGCTGGGCATGGATCACACATGTTCAGGTCCCATGGAGTGTCCAGGTCTGTACCTGAGCCCTCTGGGTCTGGCAATGGTCCTCCAGTCACCAGTGGAGAGGCAATCACGATGATCTACGAATAAAATAGTAAAAATTTATACTGAATTCATATGATAGTTATCCTGTCTATATAGTTTTTAGTACAGTGTGCTCACACTCACAGCCATAATACCACAGAATACAATACAGTGATTCAAAGTAATTCATATTGCTAAATACTGCATTACATATAATTTGTTAATGAAAGTTATTGTTGATATAACAATCAAGTTAGGGGGAGTGGTGTGTTACACCAAAGGGCAGTTATACCGGCTATACAGATACAGACAGATACAGAAGTTTGTTTCTACTTTTAGTTTTGTACATTAAGTCTATGGCTGCATGTACTTGCAACAGGTGGGGAGGGGGGCATTGACCCCATAATGACCCCATGGCAACTAGGTGTGGGCATGTGATGTCACAGCCTCCATGCTAATTGGTTGAGCCTGGAAACATGTGATCTATAAAGTTTCATTATGATATATCTGTGTGTTTGTATTTGACTGTACATTATATATCATACATGAAGCAACTTCCAGGTTTAACCACCAACATCACCTAGCATATTCAGGTGAGTGCAAAAACTATTTTCCTAAATTTTTTTACCATATTTTGCGTTCTGACATTGGTAATATAAAGAGATAGATTCTTCTAGGTCTGCAGACAGTAGGATTTGGGTCATTGCACACCTAGGCTTGCCTCTATATAGTCTCTAGTCTTTTTCTCCACCCACCCAC